CCACTCTCATCAATTTGGTTTCAAGCAAAATAGCTCCACCCTGCATGCAGAGTTCCTATTGAGTGAGAAATTAAAACAATATAATAATAATAACTCGCCAGTATATATCTGTAGCTTGTCTCAAGGTGTGCGACAAGGATCCATTTTATCGCCACATTTATACAACATTTACACTAAAAGTATATTAAGTCAAATTGTTTCCGATTGTAAAGTTGGAACAACAGTAATGGGTTTATACACTGGTATTATTTCTTATGCAGATGATATAATCCTGCAAAGTCCTACTCTTTCTGGGCTACAAGAGTTGATTAATAAAGTTCAAACGCAATGTCAAAACCTCTATGTCAAATTAAACACAGAAAAAACTGAGTTCATTATCTCCGGTTAGTTACAAAAAACATTATACAAATCAACGTTTTTTTCTGAAACTCAATAATAAACTAAAAAACCTCGGATTCTTATGGGAAAATCAAGGCCATGGACAAAATATAGCTACAATCCAATCAGTAAATGTAAACGAAAGAATTATTTAATTTCAATCAATCTCCTAAATCTTCTAAAATCTGGAATTTGTTTCTGTCAACCAGTAACTATAGTGGATTTGTTCAAATCTCTGGCTATACCAAATCTATCATATGGATTAGAAATTTGTGATTATAGCAATACTTTTTTTAATAAATTAGGCGCTGTTGGAAGATTAGCATTAAAATTTCTCTTTAGTATTTCAAAATACAGCAAAAACTATCTGCATTCCTACTATAAAATTGATGACGTATCTACCATCCTCGTTCAAAACAAATTGAATCCGTTTATCAGATTACTGAGCAATCCGACTTGTTTTTCCTTGATTTTAATTCAAATATCTAATGTTAATAAGGAAAACTGCTTTATTAACGAAATAATGAAAATTTGCAACTGCCTAGAACTAAGCTTCATACAGTGTTTGATTAAGGGGGAAAAAATCATTATCAAACGTCGTAACGATGACGTAGAAGATGATATGGCGGGAATTTTAGACCAGTCCTTTGAATTCTGGAACATCAGAGAGCAGAGAATGATATTAAAAAAGAATTTTAACTTAGAGTATAAAACTATTAGTTTTATGACCCCTGTATTTTTTATCTGTAATTTTGGGTGACGAAAAGAATAAATAAATAAATATGTATGACGGGAGGATGAAAAAGGATAGTTGCTGTGATAGGAGAACGGGAACCCTAAAATTTTAGTCCCTTCCCCTGCCCCAAACGTCAGAACAACAAGTTGATGAAATATTTTTTGTACTATTTTCAACTAGACTTATATTACTCAAAAAATTTTTAATTTCATAGGAAAATATTTTAGTGTTCAAAAATTATGACCATATAAAGTTTAAACATTTAAATTTAAGGGGGTTTAAATTAATTTTTATTAATGTAATTATTAATTTATGAATTAGTAATTTTTTAGTTTTGAAGTTGTTTTTTTAACAAAAAAAATGGTCATAGTTTATTTATTACATTTTAATTGGTTTTTTAGATTGCTAATAGAAAGAACGTCGTTAAGAAATACAAATTTTTATACATTTTTATATGCTGTAGACGAAGATTTTGCCTAAAACGGGTAGACAGTGCACCCGGTTGTTTTAACCTCTACGGGAATAAGCATTTAATTCTCCTACAGTATTAGGAGTAGTGTTTTTCAATATTTAATTGTAGTATAGTATGAACTTGTAACTATATGTAAATTGATGGAGGGTAAACAAAAGTTAAAAATACTAAAAATAGTTGTTTTTTTCTTATATATAAACATTGTTTCCGTGCAATAGCGATTATCTTATTGACGTATTTTCATAATTTACTCAAACTTGAAAAGCAAGTAATTACAATAAATAAATTATAGACTAATATTTAACGAATATAATATATTTTTTAAATATATATATTATTTATAATATATTTTACATATATATATTTTTACATATATACATAAATGTAATATATTATTTACATATTTTACAATTTGCATGCCGACACTTAAGGATATTCAGGTCGGCAGTTGTATGCCGTCCTAAAGCAAAGATTGGTCGGCTTTTGCGTCGGCTTTTTGCGTCTAAATATATATATATATATATATATATATATATATATATATATATATATATATATATATATATATATATATATATATATATATATATATATATATATATATATATATATATATATATATATATATATATATATATATATATATATATATATATATATGTTATATATATATATATATATTATATATATATATATATATTATATTATAAAGGAATATATATATATATATATATATATATATATATATATATATATATATATATATATATATATATATATATATATTATATTGTATTATAAGGGATAGCACTCTAATTTGATGTTGAAGTTTAAAAAGTTACACTAAAAACGCTAATAATTGCCATTTACTTCATACACGAATGTGATTAGATTCTTTTTCTTACTTAACTTACAAAATAGCCCAGTTTTTATTAACACTTTAAAGAAAAACTATTTAAAGCAAAACCCATGAGTTTCTAACTAATTCTGACCCAAATCCTAAGCCTGACCCTAATCATGTACATATAATTGCGCCAATCTCTATTTGTCAGTCTATGTATTTATATATATATATATATATATATATATATATATATATATATATATATATATATATATATATATATTAAATTACAGGAAGTCACAAATATTTTAACTAGTGTAAATTTTCAAGTTTGTTTAGAAAATATGGTTTATGGTCTTTTAGTGTTACAAAGGCTTGGGCAGGGGCAGTATATTTGATTCTGTTATCAAGGTTTATTTTTTCAGCTATACTTTGGGCTTCTAAATTGATTGCGTTTTCCAAATTTTTAGAGGCTTTCTCATAAGAACTAGTAATATTGTCGCGTAAAATTTTATCATAGTTTTCTGTTGTGAGTTCGTAAATGTTATTTGTTTTATTAGCAACAACCAAAATATTTGGGTTCGACTTAATTTTTTTAACATCTAACTTTAAATCTGTTTGAAATTCATTTTTTATATTCCTTGTAGGTTATTGGTTCCTTCAAAAAGTGAGATTGGACATGTAAGCAAAATTAAATTGGACAAAATTAATAATATTCTTAGAAATAAATTAAATTTGCAACAGTGGAAAAATACCACTGATGTTATAAATTGGTTCCCATAATCGAAAATAAAGATGACTGTACATTTATTGAATTTGATATTAATGATTTTTACCCGTTAATAACTGCAGATATTTAAATAAAACAATTGAATTTGCAAAAAGCCACACATTTATTACTGAAAAAATAATCCATATAATTAAACATTGTAGAAAAACCTTACTTTACTTTAATAAGGAAACTTGGAAAAAAAAACATACATGACTGCTTTGATGTAACAATGGGCAGTTATAGCGGAGCAGAAATTTGTGAATTTGTTGGACTTTATATTTTAGATTTATTAAGTAAAATAATCAATATAAATGATTTAGGGCTTTATCGCGACGATGGTTAAATAGTAATGCGTAAAAAATCTGGTCCACAGCTCGATAAGATTCAAAAAAATATTATAAAATTTTTTTAAAATATTGGCTTTTAAATCGAAATAAATATAAATTTAAAAATTGTCAACTTTTTTGATGTCACATTTAACCTCTCTGAAAATTCATACGATGAATTATTGTACATTAATATTAACTCAAATCATCCACCACAAATTCTAAAACAAATCCCAATTTCAATTAATAACAGGTTAAACCAGAACTCATCCAATGAAAATGTTTTTAATTCATCCAAACGAATATTTGAAGATGCTCTTAAAAAAAGTGGTTTTGAAAGTTTTAAACTAAAATTTGACCCTGAAAAAATGAATACAAAAAAGCGGAATACAACTAGAAATGTAATTTGGTTCAACCCCCCCATATAGCATAAATGTTTCCACTAACATAGGAAAAGTGTTTTAAAAATTGGTCTATAAGCATTTTCCTCCCTCTAATAAATTACATAAAATTTTAATTGAAATACAATTAAAGTTAGCTACAGTTGCACAAAAAATATGGAAAGAATTATAAAGTCACAATAATACTTTGTTAAGAAGTCCTAAATGAAAAAACTACTTCGAAAGAAATCCTAAATGAAAAAACTACAGAAAATTGTAATTGTAAACAAAAAAACAATTGTCCAATGAGTGGAAGTTGTTTATCAAAAAATGTGGTATATAAATGTGTTGTTTCTTCTAAGAATGTACCCGATAAACAATATATTGGCATAACAGAGGGTGAATGGAAAAAACGTTTCGCCAATCGTAAGCAATCTTTTAAAAATAAAAAGTATTCAAAAGACACCATGCTGTCAAAATATATATGGGAACTAAAAGATAAAAATATTGATGATTTTATACTGAATTGGTCCATTCTCAAAACAGCGCCTGTATATATGTATATATATATATATATATATATATATATATATATATATATATATATATATATATATATATATATATATATATATATATATATATAGTATTATTTTGCATAATTAAATTAAAAGTTAAGATGTTTTGCAAGCATTTTTTTTCATCAACTTTAATGCTATTAAGAAGTTTACCATCCAAGAAATTTTACATCTATCCAAGGTTTTTCACTCTCATATCTTTACTAAGAAAAGATAGAATTCGAGTACCCTACAAACAAGATACTGAAGAGTAATTTAATTATTTGGTATAAATTGAAGTTTTATTAATTTGATCATTCATTTCTGATGAGTCTTTATTGATGAAAGACAGTGTAAAATGAAAAAAAATTTTGTTAAGTGATTTTCTACTAATTTATACATATATATATATATATATATATATATATATATATATATATATATATATATATATATATATATATATATATATATATATATATATATATATATATGTATATATATATATATATATATATATATATATATATATATATATATATATAGTATTATTTTGCATAATTAAATTAAAAGTTAAGATGGTTTGCCAGCATTTTTTTTCATCAACTTTAATGCTATTAAGAAGTTTACCATCCAAGAAATTTTACATCTATCCAAGGTTTTTCACTCTCATATCTTTACTAAGAAAAGATAGAATTCGAGTACCCTACAAACAAGATACTGAAGAGTTGCTATTGATGAAAGAACAAAAACTAGCAGAAATAAAAGAATTATCTTTAACAGGAAATAAAGTGTACACTGATAATTTAAGTGAACAAAAAGAGTATTTGAGTATGATTCTCTATCAACTGTACATTCGAGGTGATCAAGAAAATTTACTTAAGGTTTTCAACGAAATGAATGCATCCAATGCTTTAGCAGAGACTTCTTATATAATTCTAATGCGGTATTATACTGATTGTAAAAATTTAGATAAAGTTACCTATTTATTTAATGTTATGAAAAATAATGAAAACAATATTTTAGGGACTCGTTGCTATGTACCTCTTATTGTTTGTTTTTTGAAGTCTTTGCATTTTGACTCTGCTTCTATATATTTGAATGAAATGCTTGAAACAATGAAAAAAAGTTATAATGATAAACTGTTTTCAGAAATTATTAGTATTTGCTGTGATTTACGTGAAAATTATTCTGAAAGTACAGAAAAGATTGTGAATCAAATTTTGGAGTTTATGAATTGCTATGGAATTGAAAAAGTAAATTCTGAAACTATTTTAGCAATTAAGAAATGGTTTGAAAGGTTTGTATTCAATTTATTTTTGTTATTCTGATATTTTATTAATCATTTTTTCATTCAGCCAAACCTTTGTTGATATAGATTTTACTCACAGATTTAACTGTGAGTGAAATATTTAAGTTTGTCAGGCCTTAGCGGGAAACAAGAGCTTTAGCTCTCGCTTCTTGCCGAGGCCTGACAAATTTAATGACTTAATGACTCTTGCATACACTCTTCTAAAACACTTTACAGGAGCAATTTACAGCTCTCGCAAAAGTATTTTTTTCTCTCTCAAAAGTTTGATTATCATTGTAACTAAAATGAAAAACGCAAAGTCAAAAAAATTTAAGAAAGATACTTTTCTACAACTAGCATCTCAATAACAAGTTCACATTTTTTTTATTATTTTTTTTATTATTTTTTTTAAATTAATTTAGTGTTATCAAAGGAATAATAAAAAGCATGCAAATTAGTGATTGACCGAAATTCGGTTCGGTTCCAGTTCCGGTCATAAATTTGGCCGGAATCAAAATTCCTGTTTGGGTTCCAGCTAGATTTGAGATTTCGGTTTCGGCCGGAATTTCAGTTTAAAATGCTACCGGAAATAGATCTTTATCTGGTTTTTAATTATCATGTTTAAAATATCATGATTTACAAATTTAATGACACTACAATGTTATCTACATTGTACAGTCATATGTTTATGGACTTGATTATTTATTTATTTTAATTATCACATGGAATTGGTAACTGTAAAATTTTTACGAACTTGGTGATTTTTTTTTTAATTGTCACGTGGAATTTGTTAGAAATAAATTAAAAAGTTTTTATTGGTTTCATTAATTTTTTTAAAGCAAGTTATTTTAATGTTTTCTTGTTATTAAAACATTAAAACAATAATGTTTTCTTGTCATTATAACTTTTTAAATGTTTTCTCGTTTAAATTGTTAATGTCTTTATAAGAAACTTTTTAATGTAACGCAAGAAATTTTTCTTAGAAATATATATATATATATATATATATATATATATATATATATATATATATATATATATATATATATATATATTGTTAAGTTAACAACAATATTAATACAAATTAATATAATTAATAATTAATATAATTAACAAAGAACTTGTTAATTATATTTTTAATCCTTGTTTTTGACTTAAACTAGCAACATTAAAAAACTCATCTAATTAAGTTCTTCGATTTCATTTTAATAAAATGAATTTTGAGGCACCATGCTCTTATTGCTCCAAATTACAAGATTGCTAGTGAAAAGTACTACAGATTAATACTTTCAAGGAAAAGCTGATTCAATCAGAAGCTGAAAATGTGAGTTTTCAGCTTTAAAACTCCAAAAATTGGAGTTTGCTTAAGAGACAATGCAGCAAATGTAAAAGCAGCCTTCAATGAGCCAAGCTGTAATTTTAAGTCAGCTGGATGCCTTAACCACTCCCTTCAACTTGTGATAAAAAAAGAACTATTTTCAGATCCTACCATCAACGAACTGATTGAAAAGAGTCGAAAACTTTGTTCTTACGCATCCCATTCTACTGGTTTCTACACTGAACTTTACAGACAGCAAGAAATCCAAATGGATTGAAAAGACAGACTTGGCTTAAAAAATGATTTTGCCACAAGATGGAACTCTACCTATTACATGCTTGAGGGAAGTTTACACCTGAAACCAGCCATTGCTGCAACCTTACTCAAATTTCCTTCAGTGGGAATTGAATTTTTCGTCCAAAGTTGGAGCCTCTATGAAAAAGTGGCGAGGATTTTAAGTATTTTTGAGGAGGCAACAAAAATTTTGTCAGGTAGTGATTCTTGTATCAGGTTTCTGCATTCCAATTGTGACAACAATAATTAAAGCTTTGGAAACAACCTCTGGCGACGTCAGTGTTCATAAATTGAAAATAGCTGTGAAAAATGCAATGGAAAAACGTTTTTCAGCAATTGAAAAAACAGAACATTATTCAGTTGCTACTTTACTTAATCCAAAATACAAATGGTATTTTTTCCGATCTCAAGCTGCTTTGCAAAATGCCAAACACATTGTCATGTCCCAAATGGAGAATTTTGAACCTCTTGAAGATGAATTGGCTCTTGTTACTCAAAGTTTTTGTAACTGTATTTGCATGGAAAACATTATTTAGGTAACAAAAAAAACATTATGTTAAAAAATCCATGCTGATGGTCAGAGATCAGCTCACAAGATTAAGGTGGTATAAGGAGAGAATTGGATGGAGAAGTAGAAGCAAGAAATTTTCATTAATGAAATTAGCTTTAAATTAATTAAATCTAAAAAGCAAAATTTTTGTTAAAAAAATGTTATATTGTTAATTATTGTATTAAGGGGTCTGCTTTAATTTTAATGGAGTAGTTATGTGTAACATTTATACTTTGAAATAATGAATAGAAAAAACAAAACTCTCGTTAAAAGATTTCAGAATTAGAAAAGTATAATAATTGATTTGTTGTACCGAAGTTGCAACATGGTGGCAGGAGTGTTGATATTCGGGGCTGCTTTAATTTTAACAAAGTAAGTAGTGTAACATTTAACATGTCGAACATATGTATATAGAGATGCTAGAGAACTGCATAGTTTCCTCAGTGGACATACTGATTGATTAAAACCAATGGTGGCGGTTTTAACAAGATTTGGCAGTGCTGTACAAGCTGTATGGCCAGTGCCCACTCAGCTTATACAGTAAAAGCATGGTTGAAAGAAAATAAAGTAGATTTATTGCCCTGGCAACTTGACTAACAGATTAGAATCCAATTGAATTTATTTGGACTTGAATGGACACAAAGTTAGTCAAGGTGTGAAAACGGTCCATAAATAGTTTTAAGTAAGAATTGTATACCATTTGAAGAATAGTTCCAAATAAAATCTGCAACAATCTTGTAAAATTGATGCAAAAAAGCTGTGCTGTTTGCAAAAAAGTTTGTGGGGGACATTTTAAATACTAGCTTAGATGTTCTTTTTGTTGTTTTAATTTTTTATATATTGCAGTTTTTTTATTGATATTTTTTGTTATTATGTTTAAAAATGTTTTTATATACAGCTTTATGTTTTAGTATGCCATCCAAGATGCAAGATTTGTTTAAAAAAGATTTTTCTCACAAATGAAAAAAAATTTTTGTTCAATATCTTTTTATATTATAATTGCTAATGGAGGCTATGAAAAACCTATTTTATATATATTTCTTTACATTTTCTTTATTTGCATTTTATTTGTTTATAATAAAATATTACTTCAAAAATGAGTATATGTTATTAAAATAGTATGATGCTATTAAAAGAACTGGAAAGGAGTGTAGAATTTAGTGAGATGTTACCAGTATTTGATACTGTTAATATAAAAATTGACAAGAAATTTGGCTTTAACTTAATGATTTTATTGTTGTTTTTTTTTAATTTTTTTTTTCAGTGACAAAAAGAACAAATGGTTTGTCAAGCCTACAACTATAAATAGAAAAAAGTAAGATTTAGCAACTTAAACAATTAAAGCAACTTTATGATAATATTTAATATAAATTTTAAAATAAAGTAAATTTGTGATAATATTTAATAAAAAGTTATAGTCAAGTAAAATATTTATTTATCAGTTGTAATTATTATAACCATATTAATAGTTTACTACTTGTGTGTGTGTGTGTGTATGTATGTATGTATATACAACCCTCAGAATTAGGGTCGGCATTCAGCCATGCTGGCCTAAAAGTGTTTGAGGTTGGTAAAATTGATATTCATTTCTATATTTTATGATAACCCCTTTGTGTCAAAAAAAAACTGACACAAAGAGGTTATCATATCCAACCTGGTGCCAACCTCAAACGGTTTGAGGTCAGCAATTTGTTGCCAACCTCATTTTTCCTAATTCCAAAGGCTATATGTATATATATATATATATATATATATATATATATATATATATGTATATATATATATATATATATATATATATATATATATATATATCAGGCCTTCTCAGGAGAGGCGTGCGGTCGCACGCCTTGAATGACTACGCATATATATTTTTTTGTTGATAACATGGCCACGATTTTTTTTACATTTATTAAAAATGACGCATCTCAAAAACGCGCTGAAAAAACAAAGTTAATTGCTCATCTTTTTTTAATTATTATTAATAATTCATTATTATGGTTATTAATGAGAAAATAAAAACATTAAAATAACATATATGGGCAATTCCATTTTTAACTTACGTTACACGTGCAACTACTTTACCAAATATTAGCTTATTTAAACTTTTAAATTAAACTTTAAGCAATTTTGTATGAAAACTGTTAGTCTAATAAATAAAATAAGCTTAACAGTTTTGAGTTCGGCCATAAGAAAGCAAATTTATTACTAAAAATGCCACTTGCACTTATGTTACACAGAAAACAAGGTAAAAAAACAAATTCAACTTATAGGTCTCATTTCTGCAAATCAGTAAAGCAGTTTGTATTAGAAACTTTTACAATATGCAGATAATTCTATACCAATTTAAAATTTTTATAAAAATTTTTTTTAAATAAACTTGTTTTTTTGATACTGTATTTTTTTACTTAAATTACATCACTTACATTATCGAGCAGTTATCGTGATTTTTTTTATCTATTATTAAGAGCTAGAGCTACGTAACAAAAGAATTGCATAAGTATTGAACTCATTCATTAAAAATAATTAACAAAGAAATTTTTTTAAAATTGGTGGCACTCTTATTGAGTGATTTTTCATAACATTCATGAAAGTTATCAAACTGGAAATAGTTTTTTCGCAAGACCAAGAGCAACTTCAGAAAAATATTTTAGTTTTACATCTTTATTATTACTTAATTGAGTAATTGGTTTGACAAAGTTTTTATTTAGACTTCTTACGTTTATGCGTATTGCTTTATTTTTATAAGATTGAATTTTTATAACGCTGCTAAGTTAAATTTTTAAATATTTAAATCTTTTCTAAACATCTATATGTCAACCAAAATAATAGTGCATAAACAAACAAACAAAAAAACAATAAAATAAATAATTTTAATACATATAAAAAAAAAAAAAAAGTTTTTTTTTTTTAATTCTCTTTATATAAAAAGTTTCAGTTAAAACCTTGTCAAGCCAACAGGAAGAAATAATAATTACTTAATGACGTAATTCATTTAGTAAACAAAAAATTAACGAGAAATCGCCAGAATTTTATTAAATGCATGAAAACAAATAAAAATATATATATTTATATATTATTTTAATTTTTTTATTTTATCATTAATTACAAATATATATATGTGCATTATTGTTAGGTTTTTATTTTCTCATAAATAATTATAATAATAAATTATTATTAATAAAAAAAAACCAATAAGATGACTAATTAGTTTGATTTTTTCAGCGCGTTTTTAAAATGCGTCATTTTTAATAAATGCAAAAAAAATCGTGGCCATGTTATCAACAAAAAAATATATATGCGTAGTCATTCAAGGCGTGCGACCGCACGCGTCTCCTGAGAAGGCCTATATATATATATATATATACACACACACACACACACATATAGGCCCTGCAAATCGCTTAAATTCAATTCGGGAATCAAATGTCGCTTCGATTCAAAAAAAATGAGTCGAGTTTTTCGAATCATTTTTTTATTTAAATTACTATGTTTTTATACAAACAACATTTTTCAAAATATCAATATTTATGTTATCAGTAAATTCAGCGTTAGAGTAATTTTGAAATGTAAACATACTTTTAATTAAAATTAATTGTTGATTAGGGATTTAAACAGAGCAGAACGCAAATTAGTAACGCAAAAGTTAGCTTTTATTTTTTGCATCGTTAATGTTTGACTTCGCTTTCACTAAAGTAGTTCTAAATTTGATACTTTTTGTTTGTGCTACATCAAGCTATTTTCTCATCAAGCTATAAAATGACTTCTAAAAAATCAGCAGTTAAAGAATTCTTTGAAAAAAAAGGAGTATTCTGGCAATGCAAACAAGAAAATTGCAACAAAAAGTATTCTGTTCAGAAAACTGGAACATTATCTCATCTTTGAAACCATTTAAAACTTGACCATAAAAAAACTACATGTAGAGGCAACAAAAAAGCACACATCTGCTACTAAAAGAAAAAAGAATTCCGATAACACAATCGAGCAATCATCAAGTTCCTCGTTAAATTCGTATTTTATTCGACCTTCAAAAGATACAGTTATTAAAAAAACAACTACAATTTATATAACAAAGTATAAAAAGCCAGTTTATCTCCAAACCTAGCATCACTTATATCACTTTAAAGCCGACAATGTGAAAGGAAACGTGCTGTCAAAATTTGAGTTGACTTCAAATAATATTTTTCAAGCTACAACCGATACTACTTCTAGTATGCCATGCAAACTTGAACTTCTTGGGATTGATTGGCTAGGCTGTTGTGCTCATAAACTCCAACTTTGTGTGAAATCAGCTTTACACAACCAACCAATTCTTGTTACATTCATTAGCAAGGCTCATAAAATAGTAGGATTTTTTCACTCATCATCAGTTGGACAAGCAGCTCTCAAAAAGTATCAGATTTGTCTAACTGTAACACAAGTGCAATTATTAACAACAGTCACTCCTATTTTAAATGCAGTATCTGAAGCCACTACTATACTAAGTGCGGAAAAATACGTAAGTGTTAGTTTAGTTTATCCGTGCATTGCAACTTTGAAAAATTATCTTTGCTTAATGGATAAAAAAGGGATAGGTAAACTTGTTGATGATCTTATTACACAGTTGGAAATGAGGTTTGATTTAAGTGAAGACATTTTTCTCACCGCTACTTTCTTAGACCCTCGATTTAAATCAGAAATGTTTACTTTGGCAGAGATACAAATCATAAAATCTTATCTAATGACATCTGAAAAAAAAACACGATTTAAATATTACTATGATTCCCGCTGAAATTCAACTCCAAGTAGCAAATTTGTCATGAAGCAAATGGAATTTTTTATAAAATGTTTGAACATATCACTAAAAATTGTACTCTACCAGAGAAAAGAACTTTAGATCAGCAATTAAATTTTGAAACTACTGCATGCATTGAAGAGAAAACGTTGGGATGTTCAGATTGTTCTAATATCTACTGGAAAAAACAAATGTAACATTTTCCCTTTATTATCCAAAGTTGCAACTGATTTTCTTGCTATTCAAGCTACAAATTATTCGTCTAAAAAAGTTAATTCTGTGGGAGGAGTGATCGACAGTAAACGCAAAAACCTTTTCAAGCAAAATGCAGAACAGTTAATTTGGGCTAGAAGTAACAAAAAGAGTTTGTTCAAATAACATTCAAATTTTGTAATATTTTGTATAGTATACATCAATATAAAGATAAAAAACTTAAATTTTTTTTATTCAGTGATTTGATTTGATTCGGGAATCAAGACCTGCTTCGATTCGAGATTCGATTCGAAACTAAAAATGCCGATTCGCAGGGCCCTTATATATATATATATATATATATATATATATATATATATATATATATATATATATATATATATATATATATATATATATATATATATATATATATATATATATATATATATATATTTAATGAACTATAAATGTGTGTTTAGATAAGCATTTTGACATCACACATAGCCTGCTGCCAGGGGCTTCAGTATATACATCAACTATCTTATAGCCTGCTTCAAGAAAGTATCGCTTTATTGACTGAGGGTTTGGATGGGGCAGCAATCTTATCTTTCATTATTCTTCAATTTTTTGAAAATTTTATAATCCAGTATTATTATATAGAACACATTTAGGGGTTTTTCCCATAAACTGTTGTTATAAAGAGCGTGTTAATAAGCCTGACCAGAAAATGTTAAAAAACTTCAAAAAACGCGTCAATTTTTTGTCCTCGTAAGCATGATTTTTTTTGTAAAAAATGTACCCGTAAGAAACTTTTATCAGGCTTGGTCGGTAAGCGGGTGCGATCACACTCAATAACTGACCACAAAAATAACATTAAATGTTCTAGAGAATTCTGTTGAAATATTTTTAAAAATTGTATTAATTGAGTTTTGTTATGTTTTCGTTGAGATTTCTAGCATAATTTGTTTGAAGAATATTTTTTTTTTTTTTTTTTTAATTATTCACCTCCCCAAGGCCCGAGGGGGTCACTACAGTCGAGGAGGCTACTCTTTTTTTTTTTTTTTTTTTTTTTTTTTTTTTTTTTTGTTGTTGTTGTAAATCGTGATACAACCCTCTCTCAACTCTTTAACTTCGAAACAAGGCTGCTGTGCTTAGAAATTAAGTTGAGCGCGGTACTTTCAGGGACATGGTGGGAGTCGAACTCCGAACCTCTCGCTTACAAAGCGAGTGCTCTTACCACTACACCACTACCACATATACTATCAAACAAACTATTATTTTAATACTATGGTTTGTTCTCGGAGCCACATCTACAAAGCTATAAATGTTTTAAACTAGCATTATTT